TGTGTCAGGGGCGGAAAAATGGCCGCGGACCATGTGTCAGGGGCGGAAAAATGGCCGCGGACCGTGTCACGGGAGGGAAAATGGCCGCATATCCTGTTCGTACCCTGAGGTGGAGTTCAGAAACCGAGGTAAATTTTTGCGGCTGGAGCCGGGCGTAACCCGAAAAGTTCGTTAACAGAGGCGTTCGTAACCCGAGGTACCACTGTATTTTGCAATTGGATCCATGTTCCTTCTCTCACTTTTGTATTCAATCCACATTCATTCAAACCCTGGTAGAATTATATACTGTATGTATGCGTGCGTGTGTGTATCTCCACATTAATGACGCAGTGAGCCATATAATCAGTGCATAGTTGTTGAATAGATCATCATTGTACAAGCAGGAATACCAGAAGGCTCAGGGACAAGAACACGGACCCAACATTCAGAGAAAAGTCATTTTCAATCTGCCCCATCAAATTATTTTTCTTTCCTGTTACCAGTGAACATCAAGGGTCTTTTTTCATCAGAGGTTATTTTTAGATTTGCACCATAATTCTCTTCCCTGGGTTCTCCTATAGATCTTGCAGTACATATAACTTTATACATGAGGATCGATGATGTACATACCTATCCAACATGCATATGTTGTGGTCCTGATGTCCCAACTTTTCAACTATGAAAAGAACCTTTCCTGATTCCTTTGACAATGATAATGGGTAAACATTTCCCATAGCCAAACCCTAAGTCAGTCCAGGTTAATGCTGGTCTCCAAGATAGAAAAGTGGAATGTTCTGTTGGTTGAAATCTAAAGTCCTAATACCTGCAGGCAACATCTCAATCCTCTTAACTGTAGCATTTTTTCAATATAACCTTTTTCTTTCCCCTTCCTTTTCATTCCTTCATTTGATTTATTAGGAAGAAAAAAAACCCCTCATGAAATCAGTAGGAAACAGTCCAGCAAAGAAATCACATCTGAGATAGTTGTGTAAGCAAAATCTAATATAGGTTTTAACAAAATATACAGAGACTTTTGGAGATGCTGATCAATTCTCATTAGAATTAGCTTATTAACTAATGGACGTTGATCCCTGGTGCCCCACTCAGGTTCTGTGTGAAAGGTCTAAGAAGATTTACATTTTCTCTCTCTTTCTCTCTCTTTCTCTCTCTCTTTCTCTCTCTCTTTCTCTCTCTCTCTCTCATATTCTCTCACTCATTCCCCCCATAGAAGGAGATAAGCAGAAAACTCTGAATCAGGAGCTAGATATGATGACGTCAGAAACAGTCCATCAAGAAGTGGGACGAGAGACATTTGAAAGTCAGTGGAGATCAAAGCTACACAAGGAATACCACCCTAAGTGTATGGGAGATAAATCATCCCCTTCCCAATGTGTGGACTTCCATGAGTTCTTGACCGAACAGGAACTCACAGGAAATGGATCTGAGAATTGTCTACTGCATAGGACAATAAAAAATAAGTTGGACATAGATAATCATTGTGCAACCAAGACTAAACACAACCATAATGAATGGAGAAAACCTGAAACATCTTTCAGACAAACCTTCCCTCCTTCTTCATGTCAAGAAACCCACATTGGGGAGAACTCCTATAAATGCACAGAGTGTGGAGAGGAGTTCAGTGATCCAGCTAACCTTGCTTCCCATAAAACAATGCATACAGGTAAAAGAGTGCATAAATTCCCAGAGCATGGAAAAAAGAGCTTAAAGCAGAGTAGGCCACTTAATGCCCAGGCAAAGCTTCACAATGAGAAACCATATCAATGCAGGGAGTGTGGAAAATGTTTCAGGAGTAGCAGTCACCTTACTTCCCATCAAAGGATTCACACAGGAGAAAAACCATATAAATGTATAGAGTGTGGAAACAGCTTTAGGCAACGCAGTCATCTTATTTCTCACAGAAGGATCCACTCAGGTGAAAAACCATATAAATGCATTGAGTGTGGAGAGAGCTTCAGGTTGAGCAGTCAGCTTACATATCATATGTGGAACCACACAGGGGAGAAGCCATATAACTGCACAGAATGTGGAAAAAGTTTCAGCAACGTCAGTTCCCTTACTTGCCATAAAACTATCCACACAGGAGAGAAACGATATAAATGCACGGAATGCGGAAAGAGCTTCAGGAACAGCAGTCATCTTACTTCCCATAAAAGGATCCATACAGGGGAGAAACCATATAAATGCACAGAGTGTGGGAAGAGCTTCAGAGACAGCTCTGCCCTTGTTTCTCACAGAACAATCCACACAGGAGAGAAACCATATAAATGTATGGAGTGTGGAAAGAGCTTCAGCCAGGGATACTCCCTGACTTCCCATCAAATGATCCATTCAGGGGAGAAACCATACAAATGTATGCAGTGTGGAAAGAGCTTTAAATGGAATAGTCACCTTACTTCCCATCAAAGGATCCATACAGGAGAAAAACCATATAAATGTATGCAGTGTGGAAAGAGCTTCAAGAATAGGAGTAATCTCACTAGCCATAAAAGGATCCACACAGGAGAAAAACCATATAAATGCATAGAGTGTGGAAAGTGCTTCAGAGGCAGCTCTGCCCTTATTTGCCATAGAACAATCCACACAGGAGAAAAACCGTATAAATGTATGGAGTGTGGAAAGAGCTTCAGCAGGGGAAGTTCCCTTACTTTCCATAAAAGGATCCACACAGGGGAGAAACCATATAAATGTATGGAGTGTGGAAAGAGCTTCAACCAGAGTAATTCCCTTATTTTCCATAATAGTATCCACACAGGGGAGAAACCATTTAAATGTACCGACTGTGGAAAGAGCTTCAGCAAAGAAGGTTGCTTTACTTCCCATAAAAGGATCCACACAGGGGAGAAACCATATCAGTGTATGGAGTGTGGAAAGACATTCAGGTTGAACAGTCAGCTTACATCTCATCAAAGGATCCACACAGGAGAAAAACCATATCATTGTATAGAGTGTGGAAAGACATTCAGATTAAGCAGTGATCTTACTTCCCATAAAAGGATCCACACAGGGGAGAAACCATATCAATGTATGGGATGTGGAAAGAGTTTCAAGCGTAGTGGCGATCTTACTTCCCACAAAAGGATCCACACAGGGGAGAAACCATATCAATGTATGGAGTGTGGAAAGACCTTCACAATGAGATCTTCCCTGACTTCCCACAAAAGGATCCACACAGGGGAGAAACCATATCAGTGCACCGAGTGTGGAAAGTGCTTCCGTGAAAATGGGTCTCTTACTATTCATAAAAGGATCCACACAGGAGAGAAACCCTATTTATGTATGGAGTGTGGAAAGACGTTCAGGTTGCGTAGTCAGCTTGCATCTCATAAGAGAATTCACAGGATTTAATGCATGAGGTGTGGATTGTAGGAGAAAAAATGGCATTGCTTAGAACAGGCAAAACATCCCCTTCCCTAAAATACCTTCCCAGGGACGTGGGCAACAATAACCCTCTCAGCTCAGCCATTAAAAGCTGTGGAAGGCCCAGGAATGTTGATAAAGGTGGGAGAAGACACTGAGAGGTGAGCAAAGACTCTGGGAAGCAAGGCCAGTATAGAATAAGCCATAAAAACTTCCTTAGAAACTTACTATGTTCATGTAACACATTGTTCTCTCAAATAGACCATTATTTTTGTAATTCTATCCCATTACCTCATAGATTCCACTTCATATCCGACCTCACTAACCAAGGCACCCATTGTATACATGCTTAACTCAATTATTTTGGACAATCGTATGTATATTCTAATTTGTGTAAGTGTATATAGAGGAATTGCCTCCCTGCCTCTTTAGATTTTGTTTCTGCTGTCTCCAGTACTATAATAAATATATTCTTTGGTGGATGGATGTTCTGGTTTCCCTTTTAAATGAAATCTTGGGACAATTTTTGAGAGAATTTTCTCTTACAGGAAAAAGATTATGTTTCCTGCTTGTACTGATATCGGTTGCATGAGGTGTTGAAAATATCAAAACAGTTAATCGTATTGCTCCTCAGTGAATCCATTACAGAAACAAACGAGGTCATGGAACCTTCTGGAGGATTCTGGAACATTATTTTCTTCTAGAGCATGATACTCCAACTTTTTCAAGGGTGATCCAGCATGTCCCGGAAGTAAACAACTAAGTGCTTCTTTCTGGTTAGCTCTATCAGTTAGAGAAGACATCAACAAGCCCACACAGAGGAGAAATCACAATGATAATTTACATGAAACTATCTGCACTGTAGAGTAAATTTAAATGGTTGGATTATTGATAAAGCCATGTGGATAGTGTACAGGAAAGGACCAATGAAGAGAAGAAAGGAAATAACTTTGGAAACAGTTGATAGGAGAAGCGTTTCAGTCTTGGGAGTTCTTGATTGATTGATTGATGTGCCACAACAAGAGTTCTCATCAACTCTTAGTTACCACATAGATGTTTTCCAAGACAAAGAAAACCTGGTCCTTTAGGTCTTCCAACAGTACATCCATCACCACTATAACTGAGTCCATCCACCTTGCAGCTGGTCATTTTTTTCTTATTGAAGAAAATAATAACTAAAAATAACTAAAAAAAAAAAATCCCTAAAAACATTTGGTATTTTATTCTCAGAATTCTAGCTGGTAAAATTAGGATATTCACACTGCGTAAGCTTTCTTTCATCATATACAATATATATGCAACATGATCTGGATGTGGATATTACCACCATCAGCCTGTTGCCCAAAACTCTGCTTTTTAGCTGATTGGCACTGCCCAACACCACTTGCCCTGCCACCCCCAGCTGATTGGTGCCATCTTCTTCCTCCCACTGCTGATGAGGTGTGCTTGACCTGGCCCTTTATGGGGCAGCTGCTGGCAGCACCGTCCTTCCCTTGTCCAAATTGCAGGCTGTCTTGCAAGGCTTTGAAGCCTTCCAAAGCCTCACAAGAAGGCTGCACATGATTTGGACATGGTGAGCAGAGCACAGGGACGGCAGTGGCAGCAGAGTGTAGGGCAGCCAAAAGGGCAGAGATGTGGGGGAGATAAGTGGATGGAGGAAGTTGAAGAGTAAGCAGTCCCTTACCCTACTGAGTCTGGGAGGGACTAAGTCAGGAATGGCTTGGATAGGGGTGGGTCCTCACCTAACGAGCAGCTAGGATTCGGTTAAGGACAGCAACAGGGACTGCCGATATTGCCATCGCTAAGCAATGTGGTCACATGTCATGCTTTATGACTGCATCCCGTAACGACAGAAATTCCAGTCCCCAAAATTCCAGTCCCAATTACCATTGTTAACCGAGGACTATCTGTATTTGTTTCTGGCAGACTTCTGTCATTAATAGAATGTATTAATCCCTGCATATCTCTATGGTCACTCTCTATAGAGCCATGCTCCTTTTTCTACACAATTCGATTGGTAGAATTCTATTGGTCTATTACCAATAGAAGCAAATATGTGTAGCTCAGGGTTGAACTGGGGAGTCCTTGGGGTACTCTGAGCTTGGTTCTTTTCTTGCAAATGTGTCATTACTGGCTAAGTAACATCTTCAGTGCTAGAATGGGATGGGGTTTTCTCTCTCTTTATATACTGTGGCATGCCCTGCCAGTGGGAGTGGGGGTTTTGTTTTGTTTTATTTTTTCTCTCTGGTAGTTCCTTGGTTAGGGTATTATTTACTGTTTTGTGTGCCTGGTGGTAATCTCTGCTTCTCTGGGTGATGATTGCTGGTGAGGAGATGTCCTGGTCTTTTGTTTTCCTTTCGTCTTTTTCAAATAGTGTGTAGATGTTGTTTATCTCTCTGTGCCTGTTGATGGCTGCCTTGTCTGAATACCAAGCTTCCAAGAACTT